GGGAGAGGCCACAACAGTGACAGGCCCGCGTACCGCAAAAAAAAAAAAAGGAAAAAAAGAAACCTATTAGTAACATATGGCATTTAAAAAGTCTTAAAAGGCTATGTAGGGTTTCCCTGGTGGTGCAGTGGTTAAGAATCCGCCTGCCAATGCAGGGGACGTGGGCTACAGCCCTGGTCCAGGAAGATCCCACATGCCGCGGAGCAACTAAGCTGGTGCGCCACAACTACTGAGCCTGCACTCGAGAGCCCGCGTGCCAACTACTGAAGCCCGCACGCCTAGAGCCCGTGCTCCACAAAAAGAGAAGCCTCCACAATGAGAAGCCTGCACACCGCAATGAAGAGTAGCCCCTACTCGCTGCAACTAGAGAAAGCCCACGCACAGCAACGAAGACCCAACACAGCCAAAACTAAATAAAATAATTTTTTTTAAAAAAGCTTTAAAAAAAAAAGGCTATGTAAGAAATTAATGCTGATGGGAGTTTCTGGTCAGAGGAGAGACAAGGAAGGGAAATTTTACTTTACACTTTTACAGTTTGGGGGTCATATAATCAGTAAATATACTTAAGTTTAAATATTGATAAGTAATAATGCAATAGATTGGAAAAAAATTATTCTAAGTGGCCCTGTATCACACAATCCATTAACTCTAATCTCTACTTCTTTGCCTGTTCACTATGATCTAGCCACCACACTAGCCTCCCTGCCTTACCTCAAAAGACAGGACATGCTCTTATCTTAGGGTCACTGCACTTACTCCCATTGCCCAGAGCTTTCTTCTCCCACATATTCATGTCTCTGTTCAAAGATCCACTTCTCACAGTAAGGCATTTCCTGACCATCTTTATTTTACAAATAGCCAACTCCCCCCTACCATCCCATTTATACTCCACAGCTTTTCCATCTGACATATTTGTGTTGTATGCTTCCCACACACCTTCAGAATGTAAACTACCTAAGAACAGATCTTGTCTCTTTAGTTCACTGCTGTACCTCCAGCACCTAAAAAATGCCTGGAATTTGAATGAATGCAAGTAAAAGTCCTTTTAGAAGCATATTATATTAGCATAAGATAGAATGTTAACTTGCAACACAAAACCCTGAAGTCAGAAAGGAGATCTGGGCTTCCCTGGTGGCTCAGTGGTTGAGAATCCACCTGCCAATACAGGGGACATGGGTTCGAGCCCTGGTACGGGAGGATCCCACATGCCGCAGAGCAACTAAGCTCATGTGCCACAACTACTCAGCCTGCACTCTAGAGCCCGTGTGCCACAACTACTGAGCCCGTGTGCCATACCTACTGAAGCCCGCGAGCCACAACTACTGAGCCCGTGAGCCACAACTACCGAAGCCTGCCTGCCTGGAGCCCGTGCTCTGCAACAAGAGAAGCCACCGCAATGAGAAGCCCGTGCACCGCAAGGAAGAGTAGCCCCTGCTCGTCACAACTAGAGAAAGCCCGCATGCAGCAACGAAGACCCAACGCAGCCAAAAATAAATAAAAAATAATAATAATAAAAAAGAAAGGACATCTAACTAGATAAAAATATAGAGCTGTGAATTGACCTAAGACAAGCAAAGTGGTAAAAACTACATAAAGAACTCCTATAAAAAGCCTATTAAGACTACAAAATGGATGAACCTTGAAAACACTATGCTAAGCGAAATAAGCCAGACAAGAAGAATATCCTATGATCCCATTTTTTATAAGATAGCCCAGTATAGTCAAAGTCACAGAGACAGAATACAGAATAGTGGTTACAAGGGGCTTTTTACCCGGACTAGGAATATTAAAAAGACTGGTAATAGCCGATCACGGTAAGAATATAGAAAAATATGCAATGCAGCTGTATCTCATGCCAGGGTCAAGAGAAAGCATAAAATGCAACTGCATATCGTCAATGACTCTGAAAATTCCTCAGGAAGGGGCCAACTGGAAACGACCATTCCCATCTCTAAGCCTAGCCAGTTTTCCCCGCAATGTGGAAACTGGCTGCTGTTTCTTCAGAAGAGCATTCAGTTAAACAGCTGGCTCTATTAAGGAGCCATATGCTCTGAAACACTAAAATCCTATTCAATGTAGAGGGCTGGGGAATTCCCAGGTGGTCCAATGGTTAGGACTCGGTGCTTTCACTGCCATGGGCCCAGGTTCAATCCCTGGTCGGGGAACTAAGATCCCTGCAAGCCGCGCACAGTGCAGCCAAAAAAATAATAATATGTAGAGGACTGTTTATGCTTAGACACAGGGTAAGGTGATCAACTAAAAAAAAAAGAAACAAACCAAAAAAAGCACATATCTTGTTCTCAAACTCCTTTTTTTTTAAATTATTTTCATTTTCGGCTACATTGGGTCTTTGTCGCTGTGTGTGGGCTTTCTCTACTTGCGGCGAGCAGGGGCTACTCTTCGTTGTGGTGCGCGGACTTCTCTTGTTGCGGAGCATGCGCTCTAGGCGCGTGGGCTCAGTAGTTGTGGCTCGCGAGCTCTAGAGCACAGGCTCAGTAGTTGTGGTGCACAGGCTTAGTTGCTCCGCAACATGTGGGATCTTCCTGGACCAGGGCTCGAACCCGTGTCCCCTGCATTGGCAGGCGGATTCTTAACCACTGACCACCAGGGAAGTCCCTCAAACTCCTTTTGAGGCATACCCATTCAGTAGACAAGCAATACAAAAAAATTCCCCTTTTTGCTAAGCACATACCATTATATTTCAATAATTTAAATGTGTTAATGAAAAAGACTAGACAACTTAAATATTCACAGGGCCTGGTTAAACTAAAATAAATATCTTAGTCATAATCTTACTATATAGTTATTGTTTTTGTTTTGAAGGAAGCTATCTATATATCAATTAGAAATATCACCAGGATATTGTTAATGAGAAAAAGGATATATACATATATATATATATATGGGTATAGTTGCTACCTTACCTTTTTTAATATTGCTGCATTAACATTTGGCAAGGGGACTGGATCATCATCTCCTTCATCATCCATTCCCAAATCTAAGTAAACCAGAAGAGAGTTGCCATTATTTTCTAGCCCCATTATAACAACCAGGCTGTTTCAAACAAGTAACTTGTAAGACATGTTATCTGAAAGACTATAAAAAGTACTTTACTAAGAATAGTTCTCTTGAAAGTATTTAAAACTGGCGGTTCCTAGCAACAGCTCCATGAACCACCCAAAACTATATAAAAATGTGTGAGAAGACAAATACAGGATTATATAAAAAGGGTTTTCTTAATTAGGAGGAAAAGTGATTTAATAAGTGGGATTGAGATAACTGGGCAACCACCTGGGAAAAAATTAAAGCTAGACGCTTACCCTTACTCTTTATACCAAACTCTAAATGGACTGCACTTAGGAAAATGAAACAATGTGAGGTATTGCAGAAGTAACAGAATCTCAATCTATTAAAATTTGAAGCCCAAACATGTATATATACACACACAGACACACACAACAGATCGTGCAGCCACTGACAAAAAAACAAGGCAGGCAGCTCCATACATACTGGTATGATTTCAAGATTAAAGTTTTTAAAAGCCAAGTATAAAAGATAAATGTTACCTGAATAAAAATGGGAATATACTTATGTTTATATTTAAAATATCTTCAAAAGGATATACAAGGAATTGTTAATATTATGTCCAAGGTAGTTAATGAGAACATGGGTTGAGAGACGTAGTTTCAACATATACCCTTTAGTGTTATTCATCACATACATACTACTTATAATTTTGAATATATAGGTTTCTCTAATAAAAAGTCCTAACTTTTAGACTATCAAAGTGGTTGCTGAGCTCCAAAGAGAAAACTTAAAATCCGTATGTTACTTAAAGATTCTAAATAAGAGTATTTTTCAAACCAAATGGGTCCATCCTTCAGTTTCTACAGGACTAAAAAAGAGCTGCCAAAGACACTTATGTAACAGAAGTACCAAGATCAGAGGTCAAAAGTACTGCATTGCTATACTGGTTGCAGCACAGCACCAGTTATGTTGACATGGTTAAGTGCTGAGGCATACATTTGAGTCCCTAATATATAGCTGTGCTAGGCAGGGAAGAATCAGCAATGAATACAGGAGGATGGGAGGAACTGTTGCAACTTTAGATAGAGTTGCTCAGGATGCCTCACAGAGAAGATGACATTTTAATTAAAATCCTAAAGGAGAGAACACCTAAGCAGAGGAAATGACAAATGCAAAGGCCTTCTGATAGTGTCCTAAAAACACTAAGGAATCTAGTGTTAGAAGGGCAGAGTTAGCCAGGTTGAAAGGAGAAGACAGGGCCCTAATAGGGCCTTCTGCAATTTGGCTACTATATTGGTAAGAGATAGCAGAGAGCAGGAGGGGAAAGAGGGAAACCAATTATGAGGCTAGCAATGACCCAGGCAAGCACAAGTGGCTTGTACAAGGTGTATAGCTATGGAAGAAGAAACAGTCCAATTCTGTATGCATTTTGAAGTGAGAGGCAACAGGATTTGCCAACAGATGGAAAGCAGAATGTGAAAGGAGTTAGCGACGGCTAAGGCTTATAACATGAGGAACCAGACGGATGGAGCTGCCATTGGAGTTGCCACTAATTGATATGGGGAAAGTTGTCAGAGAACTTGTTTTAGAGGGCAGGGAATCAAGAATTCTAGTTTGGGGACTTCCTTTGTGGCACAGTGGTTAAGAATCCACCTGCCAGTGCAGGGAACACAGGTTCAAGCCCTGGTCCAGGAAGATCCCACATGCCGCGGAGCAACTAAGCCCATGCGCCACAACTACTGAGCCCGCGCGCCACAACTACTGAAGCCCACGCACCTAGAGCCCGTGCTCTGCAACGAGAAGCCACTGCAATGAGAAGCCTGTGCACCACAAAGAAGAGTAGCCCCCGCTCGCTGCAACTAGAGAAAGCTCGCACGCAGCAACAAAGACCCAACGCAGCCAAAAATAAATTAAAAAAAGAAAACAATTCTAGTTTAATAAGTTTGAGGTATCTATTAGATATTCAATGGTTGACCAAGAAGTTAAATATGCAAGTCTAAAAATCAAAACAAGAGATTAGAACTGTAGGTAAGTTTGGGAAATGATGTATAAATGATTTATAACACTATGAGTCTAGCTGAGGGACTGACTATTGATACAGTGAAGAGGTACAATGATTAAGCAAACTCCCGGGAACTGAAGGCTTTAAAGATGGGGAGACAGGTTGTCAGTGAGCTAAGTATTAAGTATCCTGAAAGCCAAATGCAGAAGGGACTGATCTACCGTCAAAGGCTATCAATAAGTCTAGATGAGAAATGAAACAATGCACTTGACAACATGGAGATCAATGAGTTTAACAAGCCTCTCCAGTGGAGTGGTAAATATGAGAGTATATTCAAAAAGTATTCTATTTTCCTGTATGGGTACATTCACTCATCTCCCCTCTACTCCTCCCCACCAATGCCTTTACCTGATCCCATCTTTGCTGAGAGTAAAACTATAAAATGACAATATTTCAATTTGGATCAAGCCACTTATGCTTTTCTTGAACTAGTATGAAGTATTTTTAACTCAGAGGGGAGAAAAAGAAGTTATACTATGGAAAATACATGTGTTTGGGGAAATGAACAGATTAGAGGAAATGAAATACAGAAGACCAGCTTGTTTAGATACAAATGTTATTTGGAAGAAGGCTTAAGTCACATTAAAAATAAGGGCCTTACAGTTGTAAAGGATCACTTCTCCAGCATTTAAACCGAGGATTTGAAATGGTTTTTGCTTTTAGACTAAATGCACAAGTACCAACAGTCATTCCTTTAAGCTATTTAGTTTCAAGGACTTCTGAAAGACACCTGTATCCTGATACCACAACCTGGACCTGAAGAAATGAGTCAATCCATGTGTACACATGCCAAGATTTTCACTTCTGATTGTCCACTGATTAGAAGATTTTATTTCAATACACTCCAGTCTTCAAGAGGCTAGAATTCTATATAAGCCACTGGTACTTAAGATAAAGCCATTCACCTCTGATGCCCAAAGCTATGAAAGGAAAGAAACATTTTAATTGTTGCTATCTATCATCCACTTGCTTCAGTGATCAAAGTTGGCAGAAAACCTTCAAGCAGTCCTATGTTCCTACACTGGCAAATGCTTCTTTGAAGCAGCACAGGAGAGATTAGTGTGCCAGGCACCAACTAAGATGAAATAAAGCAAGTATTCAGGCAGCAATTTTGTTATCAGTTTCTACATCTTCTAGATAAAGCCTTACTCACCTGCCTTTAGGGACACCTGGATAACTTTCACACTCTTTTATCAGTGACCATACTATAGTTCTTCATTCAACACGTACTTGATGAACAGTGACTGTGGGTTGTACCAAGGGGTTTACAACTTAATAAAAGTAATCTATGTAAGTCACCAGGGTGCAGGACTGTAAGTGCCACATAACTGGTGTCAATTACCCAAAACAACTTTATGTTCAGCTTTTATTTTCTATTAGAAAACAGAAGACAAACCTGCAGCTCAGTTTCTGCCTCTACCACACCTAATACTTGCTGTTAGAAGTCTTCTAACTTATTATCCCTGAAATCCTAAGTGACCAGTCTGCAGTATATGAATCTGATAATCACTCTGGTCACTTCAAAATGCCCCCCTTTTCCCTTGGCTTCCTACTCCACATATTCTCTACTTCTGACTTCACAAGATCTTACAGCCCATCCTGCCCCAACATGGCCACCTGCCAAACTCATTTACTTCCACAGATATATATATATATATATATATATATATATATATATACACACTCCTATAACCCACCATACAAAGTCAGTCTATCCCCAGCAGCCTACAACTCAGGGACCAAGATCCACATACTCAACTGACTAGTAGCTTATTACAAAGATCTTTTGAGAGAATCTCTAACATACACAACATGTTCAAGCTCAAAGTCATTTTCTTTCCATTCCCCTCAAACTTGTTGCTCAGCTCTATCAACTACAAGTATCACAATCACAACCCCAACTAAAAACCTCAATTTTTTTTAAAATACATCCTGTCTACTTTACCTCAGAATGATCTCCCAAAACATCTTAATTTTACTAGATTTGAAATATCACCTCACTAGTACTACACACTGCACTCTCTCCACAAGCCTAAAGAATAACATCAGCCAACAAGTTCCTATAGCACCCCACTTGGCACAATTTTATTAATGCACTAATTATACCATGTGACCATTAGCCTTGTTTGCTGTCTATCTCCCTGCCTAGTTTATAAATCCTTCAAGAGCAAAGACCACTTCTCACTTACCTTCTTTTCACCAGCACCAGGACTTATTCTTTGCCTGCCTTTCTGCTCTCACTGAACACTGACTACTATATCTCCTGCTAATGCTTGGCATACAACTCTTTAATTAAATTTCTATAAGCTACAGATAAACAAAAACTTTTGATATTTGAAGGCACTCAGCCCTCCATATCTGCAGGTCCCACATCCTCGGATTCAAACCATGGATAGAAAGTATTAAAAAAAAAAAAAATTTTTAAACTCCAGAAAGTTCCAAAAAGCTAAAATTTGAATTTACATAGCATTTATGGTGTTATTAGGTATAAATATCTAGACATAAAGTATAAGGGAGAATGTATGTAGGTTATATGCAAATACTACACCATTTTATATAAGTTATTTGAGTATCCATGGATTTTGGTATCCATAGGGGGTCCTGGAACCAATCCCCTGCAGATATGGAGACAAATGTACTGAAGAACATTCTTATTACTACTGTTTTTTTCCCACCAATTCTAGAAACTGATTTGTAAGTCTCCATATACTATTAATGTCTACCAACCCACTGATAATACTAATTAGAGATCCAGGGCTTCCCTTGTGGTGCAGTGGTTAAGAATCCGCCTGCCAACGCAGGGGACGTGGGTTTGAGTCCTGGTCCAGAAAGATCCCACATGCCGCGGAGCAACTAAGCCCGTGCGCCACAACCACTGAGCCTGCGCTCTAGAGCCCACGAGCCACAACTTCTGAAGCCTGTGCGCCGAGAGCCTGTGCTCTGCAACAAGAGAAGCCACCGCAATGAGAAGCCCGCGCACCACAAGGAAAAGTAGCCCCCACTCGCCGCAACCAGAGAAAGCCCGCGCGCAGCAACGAAGACCCAACTGAGCCAAAAAGTAATTAATTAATTAAAAAAAAAGAAGAGAGAGATCCATGTTAACTAGTAAAAGTTCCAAAACGTTTCAGGACCTGTTTTCTTGCCTTCCTTCTTTGATGCACTGCATACATGCTTTGCAGCAGTTTCAGAGGAATGACAAAACAGACAAAAGGGAAGACTTGGTTAAAAAAAAAAAAAGAAAGAAACAGACATCTACTCAGTTTACAATCTACTCAGCTTACTCCGGCTGTTGAAACAAGGTGTTCTATTTAGCTACCATATATAAGGTATCTCTTTTCCAAAGGCTTTACTTTTGTCATTAGAAATTATGAACGCAAATTTACTTGAAAGAGAAATGGGCCATTGTCTGAGGCTTGGAAGTCATTTCAGTATTAGCTTATGGTATTACCTAATAAGGGAAAAAACTCAGTAATTCAGAAAATGCAGAAAAAACTGACCTGTACCAAAAGAAATGCAGTTAATACTTTAAAGAAAAAAAAGTAAACTTTACCCCTTCATACCCCTGAGAGTTTTCTGACACTGTTACTTCTGTAGATTTGATGTTCACAGGTTATATCAAGCTACTCATTTCTTTCTCTTTCCTCCGACCCATGTTTTCTAATAAACTTACCTTCCAACATGGTCTTAATAGTCACAGATTGTTTCGCAATTTCAACATCAACTTCAAATATCTCTCCATCAGAACTCTGCAACTTAATTGAAGGCATCTAAAAAAAGGTATTATATTGAATTTGAAATTTAAGAGATATTACTTCTATACAAACTACATTTCAAACTACAGTCTGTTAGACACCTTCTAACTTATTAACCGTAAAAACCTAAGGACCTATAGTATATAACCCTATAAAACACTAAGTGATTATTCACAGGCTAGCACACAAGTGTTTCTATAAAAATTTTGTGAAAGTATAACTCCTAGGAACAGAAGATTTTAAAGCCTGCCCTACTGAATTCATTACTAGTGTAAGTTTTAGAATTAACACTTTATATTTTTGATGCAAAATGTATCTAAAATGGACTTACTGTTTGCCCGCCTTTCTGCTCTCACTGAACACTGACTACTCCACCTGCAAACCTGAGGGAGGTGAGTCCAAAATAAACAAAGCTACCCAAATAAGAGTAATTTTCCCACAGTGAGACTTACCAGTGAAAAATGAGTTCAAATCCAAAGAGTAGATCAGGATATACTTATTTATGTTTGGACCAATGCAAGACCATACACAAAAGAATAAAATATTTTAAGGATAAGCACATGTTGTAAACCTAGTAAATTTCAGAGTCCTTTTTACCTTTCATTACTGACTGTCCAGGTGTCCAAGTTTGAGATCTCCTGCCAAAGTCCTCATAGTAATAACCTATTACTTGCGCCAAAAATGTATTTATTAACTCAGATTAATTATGAGTCATCAGGAAAAAGACACCTCTTACATAAAAGTTAATTAAGCAATTAACTTCAAAAGACTTGAGTTTTGGCAAAAAAAAACAAAACATAAAAACAAAAAAACCTCTTTAAAATTAAAAGTTCTAAGCTTCTAAGCCAGCAATTTCTTACCATATTCAGATTCTTGGGGGAGTGGCGCAGGGGTGGGGGGAACGGCAACAACACCTGACTGTAAAAATTCAAAACCTCTTTAAATTTCAAATATAGATTTTTTTAAAGGTCCATCATAATCCTGCGATGTCGTTATAACTTAAAAACATAGAATCTGGCATTTAAAACACTGATCGAACCTTTTTAGGTCCCAAGACTTAAGACCCATTAAATCAGCTGAAATATTCATTCCGCTTTCCCCAGACAATTGTCTCCATTTCCCAAACAACAAGTTGTTAAGGCAAGGAAGCAAAAAGGTAAAGCTGTTTTAAAAGCAGCCATTGAAATATCCAGCTCTCACCCATCCATGGGTGGAGAGAATCAGATTTCATTTTACAGTTCACAAATATGTCTGCTTTTCCGTGTTGCTCAGTACTTGCCAATAATGCAGTTGTCCTGCTCCATGGAGAAAGACCCAGAGCAGAGGACCTTCTCTGTGACAAGGCAATAACAAAAGGTATCCCCAAAAGAAATATTTTAACGTGAGCTCAATTTTTAATTACAAAACATTCTATGATCTTTTTATGTTCCACAGTACTGGAGTGAACATTATAGAATCAAGAGTCTGGCAACACAGTTGATAAAATTACTTTTAAGCAAGACGAACATTTCATATTTCAAATAACTTTTGATAAACAGCAAGATCTGCTTAGTCATAGTCAAATTCGTCTATTAGGTTACTCCTACGGGAGCTGAGATCTTAATAAATAGCACAGAAACCATCGGTTAATCTGTAATTCGATGCACTTTGTAACGCTAAACTTGGTACTCAAAGACAACTTTTTTAGTGTTATACAGCTGGAATTCAGAGCAAATTTTTCGTATAATGATGGGTGAAATTTTGTTTGACATGCTTTCAAGACTATTCCTTCAATTCCTTATGCTCCAGTACTTGTAAATCACTCTGAGTGGGTTCTATCAACACCATAAAGGAAAAAACCTGTTTTAAGTGACCCGAAATTCTGACACCTCTTTTTAGAGGATAGAGTGAAATCTGCGTTGCTCTATGACACAGAAACATTCTACTGTAACGCTCTGATGAAAAAAATCATGACACAAAAGCTAAACCTGAAGTCTCCATTAAAAAGTAAACCGAAGCAGGTGAATGTCCTACCCCTTCAAAAACCAGGCACCTCGAGTTAGGACTTAGAGCACCTAAAAGCCACACCACTATGACGATAGCATCTGCTATTACAACAATGGTTTCAGCAAGCCCAGGCTGTGGCAAAGTAATGGGAGAGAAATATTCCGAAGGAGCAGGCGGCTCTCTGCCAAGATTCGGAGCCAGCACAGTTAGCCAGGACCGGTGACTAGCGACGCTAGATACAGGGGCGAGAAAAGGATGGGTGCCAAGAATCCTGCGCTCCCGGACTACCACCGCCACGCTTCCTCCGGACACCAAAACAACAAACACGGACACACGCCCACGCTCACGACAGCCCCGGGAACTCCATTAAAAGCCCCGCCGCCACCCTCGCCCTGGGTGCCAGTGGCTGGCAGGCTCAACGCCAAGCGAGGCCCCCGGCCCCAGCCTGGGCCCTCAGTCGAGCTCCGCCACGGCTGACGGTCGCCCCGTGAAGAGAAGGCCTAATCTCGGGTTCGGCTCGCACCTTCTCCCTCCCGCCCGCCCGCCCGGGCACCCACGGGGCGCCGTGAAGACGCGAGGCTAGAGGAGGCCTCGCCGAGTCGAGGGGCGGGGTGGGAGAACAAGGCCGACAACGGGTTCCGAAGAGCCTGAGGGAAGGCCAGGCCCAGGTGCCTCCCGCCTCCAGCTGGGCCAAAGCACCAGCGGTGCTGCCACCAGCTCGCAACCCGCGGCGCCACCGCCCCTCCCAGCTCCGTCGGCGGCTACTCACAGTGTTAGGATTCAAGGAGATGGCGGGCCAGAGGCTGAGGAGAGCAGGGCGGCGTCTGCAAAAAAAAACACAGAAAAGCGGAGAGCGAGGCCAACACTGCGGAGCGGCGCGGCGTCTACCTATATATGAGCGGGCGCAGGCCCCGAGGACCCTTGCGCCCGTCACGTCACAGAGCCGGCGGGGCTGGCCGCCGAGATCGCCTGACGACAGGCGGAGGCAGGCCGGGCGGGCCAGGCGGAGACGCGGCAGGGCGGGGCGAGGCAAGGCGAGGCGCGGCGGGCCTTGATTCTCACCCCCTCCCTCGAAAGCTAGGCTCGGTCTCCTCAAAGCGGGAACGGAGGACTGGCTGTGGTACTTCACGGCCTGCGAGGGTCCTTCAGGCGGAGGCTGTCCTAAGCTGAACTAAAGACCCCAGACCTGAAAAGCCTGGAAGCCGCGAGCGCAGGAGGAGGAGGAGGAAGGGGGAGGGAGAGGGAGGGAGGGAGGGAGGGAGGGAGGGAGGGAGGGGGGGGGGGGGGGGGGGGGGGGGAGGAGGAGGGGGAGGGAGGGGAGAGGTGTTCTCCCGCGTGTGTGTTGAGGGTGGTGTTTGGGAGGGGCTACGGCTCCCTTTCAGGACGGGGAAACTGGGACTCCGAGAAAGAATGGGAGTTGGCCTTTCCAGTCAGCGCTGTGAGATTCTGCTCAGGGTCTCAGTATCCTCCCCTGAACCTAATAGGAGTTAGCTCACTCTCCACAATAATCCATGCGGTGAAGTATCGTTACCCTTTTTTATTTGTAAGGGAACAGGTTCAGAACGGTTCAGTGGCAGAGCAAGGATTTTTTGATATTCTTAACCCCTATTGCCTATCGTTGACTTCTGAAGAGGCCTCCAGTCCAAAGTAACCATTGTTGCAGAGAAACCCCAAGTGTATAGAGGAGGCCTCTCTCTGCCAGTGAATATCCATTCATTCAGCAGAAGTGTACTGGGGACGGGGGTGGGGGCGTGGAGGGGAGCGGGGCGGTGAAGAGCCACCGGGCGAGATCCTGCAGCGAACCAGGCAGCCAGGATCCAGCCTGCACAGAGCTCTTGTATGGGATGCTTCCTGAGGGCTGTGTGATAGTCTCCCTAGGATGAAGCCAACCATTAAGGGAAAGGGGTTAGTCTGAAAATTCCGACCCCGCCCTCCCCCGCCCCATCCTCTCCAGTCAGAGACTGACCAGCTCTACCCTGCTCTGCTTAGGGAACATCGCCACCCCTCCCTAGGAGACGAAGGCGCCAGGCTCAGCTAACCAACAGGCACGTGATGGTATTCCTGACGCCAAAGAAACAAAAGACACTTCCACAGAGGGCCCCCTAAAGAAATCAGAGGCCTACAGCTCTTCTGGGAAGGGACTGGGCAGGGAGGCCAAGCAGCTCCTTGGGTTACCAGGTCTTTGTCTACTAGCTGTGGTATCCAGTGTCTGCCAGGTGCCACAGCTGATGACAGGAAGATGAAAGGACCTACAGCTCTCAGACTGTCTCACAACACCGCCCTGCCCTCAGCAGCTCAAGCTTCAGGTCTCCTCCTCAAGACCCACTGGAGCCCCTTTGCTCCCCAGCCCATGGCATACAAGGTGGCACCTTGTAAAGTCTTGCTGAGCATCGTAAGCAGTGCCACATCACACATCTAGCCTGAGGATCTAGCACGGGGCCTGGCATAAACTAGGTGTATGTTTTTTCCACACGTCTGTGGTCCCCCAATATTAGAGTCACCAAGAGCTTCTTGTTTTTAAAAAGCACATTTTATTTACTCATGCAGCTATTGTACGCATAGATTATCTCAGGAAAGATACACAAGTAATTTTTGGCCTCAGGGGAGGGGAACTAGGTGACTGGAGAAGAGGGTTGGGGTGATTTTTCACTTTATACCCTTTCTACCTTTTGGATTTTGATCCATATGTATGTATTACATATTCAAAATTTTCTTTACTTCAAAAAAATTGGCATCAGGTCAAGAAAAATACAGATTCCCGGGTCTGCTCTTGATGTAATGAATCAGACTCCCTGGGGGCAGGCTTTTCTGCCTTTGAACAGGTTCCCCCAAGTGATTCTTAAACCCAGGGTAAGTTGAGAAACCACTATAGTAGGGACTTACTGATGAAGCACTGCCAAGAAGGGGCCAGCAGTGTCTGTCAAAGGTGACTCATTTAGATTCACACTTTCTGAATCCACCATACCCTCCACTCAGGAGACACAAGACAGTTGCAAGACTGCAGGGTGCGGGCTGGGGAACATGCATCCCCACTCATTTATCCGTAATCACCAGCCCAGGTCAAAAAGGACTGGCCCCGACAGAGTCCCCTTGGTATGTGGGTGTGGGTGTGTTTTTTGAGGGGGTGGGGAGGCGGTGGTTCTACTGATCCTGGAGCTAGCCCTAAGAAGGCTGAGGTCTCATCCTTACTTCAGTCACTCCACACACCATGTGATCAAACTCCTTGTGCTATAGAGGAAGAAAATAAAACCAAAGAGAAGGGACTTTTCCAGTGTCACAAAGCCATTGCAGAGCAGGGCTGAGGTTCCAGCCCCAGCTCTGCTTCTGCAACCACAGCCCAGATACTGATTTTAGCCCCATCCCTCAAATGCCAGGAATATTTTCTGATTAACTATTCCCAGCATACTACCTCCAGGGGAGCTAAACTCCTGGGATTCAAGCAGTCCAGGTGGGAAAATCTGGTTTTTATGGTGAATTCATTTCCAGAGATGATCACCCTTTGTAAATAGAGTTTCACTGATGCAAAGGGCTCACAGGAGCATTCCTATGAGGACCGGCCCTCTCGGTGGATCTAAAATCAAACTTTGCTGCCCAGAATTCAGCCACACTCCGTTTGTCAGGCGCTTACCCATGGAAAAGACCTCAGGCTCTGGATGTGTGTTCCAGCCCATAGGACAGCATGTAAGCTAAGAAGTAATCCAGTCTACATGGTCAGAGATCTCCTGGCTGTACTCTCCTGCTGTGTCAACTTTCTCAGTCTTACTCCCCTGATACAGTGGTAAGCACAGTGACTGTTATATGATCTTGGGCAACTTATTTCACCTCTCTGAGCCTCACGTTCCTCTGCTTAGCCACTCCTTCTTCCCTTTTGTCAAACTCTAAGCCTTCCATCTAAAATCAGACTACCTATTACTCCAGAGGAGAGAGTGCTGAATGCAAAGAATAAAGAGTGAAATTCTTGGATCTTGATTAGCAAAATGCTCTCTTGAAACCCAAAGCTGTTTTTTTAAAAAAATATATTTATTTTATTTATCTTGGCTGCATTGGTTCTTCATTGCTGCACGCGGACTTTCTCTAGTTGTGGCGAGAGGGGGCTACTCTTCGTTGCGGTGCATGGGCTTCTCATTGCGGTGGCTTCTCTTGTTGGGGAGCACAGGCTCTAGGTGCGCGGGCTTCGGTAGTTGTGGCACACAGGCTCAGTAGTTGTGGTTCGTGGGCTCTAGAGCGCAGGCTCAGTAGTTGTGGCACACGGGCTTTGTTGCTCCGTGGCATGTGGGCTCTTCCCAGACCAGGGATCAAACCCGTGTCCACTGCATTGGCAGGCGGATTCTTAACCACTGCGCCACCAGGGAGGTCCCCCAAAGATTTTTAATGCAAGTTTTTTTGAGCAATGAAAGTCCAAGAGGCTGAAGGACTCATATCTTAAATTTTACATCAGCAACAGCATAGTCAGGAAGAAAGTATGATGACACCAGAGCTAGTTTTCTAAAACACTGGGGGTGGGGAAAAAATCAAGGCAAAGTGAGCATTGCAGTTAGCTACTGCGGTGGGCCTCTTAGAAGGGACTCTCTCTCACTCCCTCCCCCGATCCCCTCTACCCAGGAATAGGGAGAGATTAGGACCTCCAGAAAGGTTTGGGAGCTCTGAGAGTGAAGAGAATCTGTGCCTTGGTCTGTAAGTAAGGTCTAAAGTCTTCCATGATGAGAAAGTATGGCAGCAGTGAAGTAGAAATGGCACCTGGGTGTGCCTAGGCAAGTGGGCCTGGGAGCATCTCAGGCTGGTGAGGAGCATTGAAGTATGTCCTGAGACCCTAAAACAGCATGGAAGTTGCTCAAAGAGGGGCTAGATAAGCAGCAAGGGGCTTGTGGGATGTAATAAACGGAACCAAATGAACCTAGAAGAATCTGGACAGTCCAAGCCAGAGACTATGGCACAAACACGGACATCCGTGGGCACAGCAGAAATCAAGGATGACAGTTCACAACTGGCAGGGGTCAAGTCTACCTGCCTTCTTGAGCAGTAGAGGAAGATGGATGATGACCAAGAGCCAGACAATCTCCAGCCCCCTCAACTCCCACTCCATGCCATGATCATATAAGCTCAGACTGTAGTTTTGACCCTGGATAGCAGAAGAGGGACAAAACCCTCAACTTGACTGAGTGTACCCCTGAAATGACAGTGATCATACAACCACTTGACTGAAGTGACCAGATTATATTTTTGCTATCATCTGGAAATAGGTACTATAGAAAGTAAAAGAGCTATAATTTTCACACACCCGAATTTTCTGACTTTAAAGTTTCATACAGCCATGGTGCAAAGGAATCATATAGACCTGCTGCTGCCCACTTGCTGCTCACATCTGTGTGATCTGGGTGGGATGTGTGGCTTCCCCTCTCTAACCCCAGTCGCTTTGTCTGTAGAATGGGGCTTATAGCAGTACCTACCTCACAGGATTTTTGTGAAAATTATTTCAATCACTAGAATGGCTAAACTTAAGAGTGACAATACCAAGTGTTGACAAGGATGTGGAACAACTGAAACTCTCACATGTTGCTGGTGGGAGTACAAATTGGTATATTTCAGAAAATTGACAGTATCTACTAAAACTAAACATGCATATACCCAGTGGCTCAGTAATCCCAACTCTGGACTAATCCCCAACAGGGATAAGTCCTCATGTCCATAAAATATGTTTAAGAATGTTCCCAGTAACTTTATTCATAAGAGAAAAAAACTAGAAGTAACAAATCCATCAAATGTAAAATGAAAAAATAAATTGTCATATATTCATACAATGGCATACTAAACAGCAATGAAAAGGAAACTACGGATATGACCATGGATGTATCTCACAATGTTGAGTGAAAGAAGGTAGACACAAGAGTACTTATGAGTCCATTGAAATTAAGACCAAAAA